ATTTTCTTATTGAACAAAGTCACCAAAAAGAACTCTCTTGAACTTCTTCAGTACAGGAACAGGATTTGATAAGAAAATGGCATTTTTTCCACCCTCAGACCAGAGAGCCATGAACATTACTTTGCCTGGGTTAAGTCTTGATTTGTAAGTATTAGTTTTCTTTTTGTGATTTTTTCTTTCTAATTTTGAAGAAGTGTTTGCAAGACTTGTTGGAGAAGATGAAAGTCTTGCTGAGATTACAGTTTGACTCAAAATATCTCAAACTCTTCTGGATTAAGATTCAATCTTTTTTAAATTGTTGTTAGCTAGAAAAAGATTACCAGTAAAGAATCATTACTTTGTCTTATTCTTTTACTTACTTATTTATAAGGATAAACTGTGATTACATTTGGTTGTATCGAACTGTTTTTTTTTTCTTTCTTTTCTTGGAAACATCTGGCAGGCTTCATTAGTCAGTTTTGAATCCATCACAAAACCCAGGCTTCATAAGATTATCTATAAAGAATAAATTTATTGGTTCTGCAAAACTAGTAAATGAAAATATTGCAAACAGAACATGTTACTTTTTTATATTCTTTTGAAAAATGAAGTTAGTGCTTTTAAGAAAAAAAATGAATTGTTTCAGCACCAACTTCCAGATATTTGATAGGAAAATCCTCTTTCAGTATCTTTTTTTTTCTTTTGAATGATTTTTTAAACATGCAGATCTTAATTGGTACGGCATTTTTCAAAAATGAATAAATAAATAAATCACTGTGATTGATAAAAAAAATGTAAAATTGGTTAATTAGACTTTGGTTACTAGAATTAATTTTAGGTCAAACCAACTCTTGAAAATAAGCAAATTACAGTCAACAAATACAACTATTATACCTGTTTTTTTAACTTAAAGTGACAGATGCTGAGCAGGTTTGCAAAAGTTATATCATTTAAAATATGTGATTGTATTACTAAAAATGATATAGTTCATTATATAAATTTAGTTGTGTCATTTACGTATCATTATAACCTTTTGGCTGCTATATTACAGCATGTCACCAGAAAACAAAGAAAATCATGATAAAAAGAAATCCCCAATATTCATAAATACAATTGGTAACTTCAGCATTGCGAGTGTTTTCTCCCAGGATTAATAGTCTAAAAGCTATTCTGATGCTGAAATAAGTCTGAACAAGACAAAAGATTACAATGGAAAACCTTGATTTACTAACTGACTGAGCATAACAACCCTTACATCAATACTGGGCCAATAAGATGATAGCTAATTACTGGTTGTACAAATAGCAAAATTAATTGGTTTTCAGGCGTATCTGATGTGTCCATTCTACGTATTGATCAATGTAATTACTCCTGGAGGTGATCCAGATTTCAGCTGGCAATGTGGAGATGCTCAGAGAACTACACTGAATACCCCCCCCCCTCAACCCCCCAACCCACCTCTTCTAGGGAGAGATAGTAAAAATGTATAAAACCCTGATTTGTCTTAAAACTCAAGGTCCCTGAAACATTCAAATCAGTTGTAAAATCTGTTCCTCCCACTCTATATTAAAAGACTAACTGCCAGATTAATTTCAGGATAACCATGAGAAATATCCAAAATTACTTGTAGCTTTGGGAAATTACCATGATTACAATATCTTTTAGCTCAGGTATGTCCCCGTAGAGTTCAACATAGAGCGTAGTGATATACCAATATACTGCCAGTGCCTTAGTCTAGTTGGCAATGTCTATAATTGGAAACCCCCAATGCCTTCTTTCAGCTAAATGAGACAGATAAACACAGCAACATGTCTTCCTTGTAGATTGGCTTTGAAAGAGCAAGAAAATTGGGAGTAGGACTAAGTTGTTTAAATCTGTCCCATCTGGGATTTTCTACCCGCCCATTTGGATACCATGAGTTGTAAATTTTGACAGATGTTTGGTAGTATCGACACACCATGTCAGTCCCATCTTGCTAATATTTCTCCATGTAGTGCCACAAATACCAAAAGGTTTCTCCTTCAAGAAGAGAAAATGTTTTTAGTCTTCAGTTATGAAAACAAGCTTTGCCAACACATCTTTCCAATGTGAACAGAAAGGGAAATGATTATTCAGTGTGTGGATGTTGAAGTGCTTGAACAAACAAGACATAACAGTAATGTAATGATGCACTTTAAGTGGTCTCTCAAGCTAAAGAAATATACAGAGCTAAATAGTGCATGTTGTGTAAGATTATCATCAGTCCATCTCACAGATGTATTATTGTGCAATGCAGCATATAGAATGATATCATTAAATTTCTGCATCAATTGTTTAATATCTGATATATGGGCAGTATGGTAATGAGATGTAATTAATGTACCCAAAAACAACTTTTGACAGCATTTCCAACAGTTTTCCTTTTTATTTCCAGTGATGAGACCCACTTTTTATTTTCATTTAAAACAATGCACTAAAGAATGTTCTCTAGATCATGGTGTGTGTGTGCGTGTGTCTGTGTGCGTGTGCATGTGTCTGTGTACGTGTGCGTGTGTGCGCACAGTATAATACAATTGAAATTCAATCAACTTTTGATTTTTATGACATCAGGATAGTAAAAAACATGGGTAATCAAAGCCACAATATGCTTAACAATAGCAAAATGCACTTTTTATCTGTTTGGCTTAAACAGAGATTTATATTTTGGTGAAGTCCAAACATTTGAGTCCATAACAATAACAACACTTCAAGTTTCTTCAAATTCTCAAAGGTGGTCAAATCCAAGCTAAGAGGAATGATGGCCTAATGATAAATATTTACTCATTAAAGATGATGAAGATCTTCTACGAGGTAAACATACGCCCACACCCCTACGCACACACCAGTGCACCTGACATACAGTATATATATACTTAGTACAGTCTCCCTGGAGTCTTATTATGGAATCAACAGAGATGTTGAAGTCTCAAGTCAAATACAAGAGATATATCACTAGTAGTAGTGGGCCTGATTTAGTCTTAAAGTGCAATTTAAGAACACAAATAGTCTTACATGCTCTTAAAACATGAGTAAGACCATTTCTAGGCTGGCAGCCAATTAAGTTGTCTCCCCTTACACATTCTCCTATTGTGAGCAGAGGTGTCCTCTATTGTTAGGGGAGGTATCCCCCATTGTGAGGGGAGGAAACTGCTTGACCACTTAAGTAGATGTTAGATCATTTTTGATCTTAAAAGCAGATTCAGTCCATTTTAAGACTACTGCTGTAATGATTAAGATCGTGTAGGATCACTTGTGAACTTAAATTGCATTTTAAGACCAAATCTGGCCCACTAGTATATCCTGACCATGTTGGGTGGATCATTAGCAGTTTAGTTTGTAAAATGTCACAATCACAGTCACCTTGTCATTAAGCAACATGAATTAGCTTTTCTTATTAGTTGTATGTAATAAATGTGTTAGATGTGACAGTAGAGTAGATGTAATTGTGTTGGTTGAGAACAGAATTTGGCAACTTTTCACGGCCAGTGTATTTGGTGATAAAAATTCCCAGTTGAAAATGAAATTGATAAAGTTTACTGGGACACCTTGAGAAATTTAGATTTTAGGGTATTTTTCCTTACCAAACAAAGTAGATTTTTTTCATAGATGAAAACCATAAATAAATACAATCCTGCATATAAATAACTACAAACTGTAAATTATTTTGCCTAGTGAAAAAAAAAAGGAAATTATTTGAGCATATATTGGCCGATACACTCAAATGACCTGATATAAAAAAAAACACCAACTTGATTGAACTATTGCTCTCCTACTCCAGTGTTCTCTTGGGGCAAATACTTGATATCAGACTCAAGTAATCCAGAATTGATAAAGTCTTCTCAAAGGACTGTGTACTTTGGTGCACAGAAGTCCCTCATGCTCAGCCTAATACACACACAACTGGAAACTCATCCAAATATCACCCGCAATAAAAAAGATGTAGTTTCAGCTAATAAACAAGACGCCATAAATCAGCTTCTTGCCATTATTATCACACAAACCTCGTACCCTAGGTGACGTGGCTACTGAGGAAAAGGTCAGCATAAAGTTAAATATCTATCAAATGGATTATTTTTTCTGAAGTAATCCTGCTTTAAATTGCATGTCTTTTTTTTGCAATTCAAATGGAAACGGTTTGAAGACTTTACAGAGGTCATATGCTATTTATTTATTAACTTAATTCATCTTATTCTAATCATTTACCCATGTAAAGTCTACTGAACATTTTATGGATTTTAGACTGTAAATAAATAAATAAATAAATAAATAAACATTATTATTATTATTATTATTATTATTATTATTATTATTATGCAGGGGTCAAGGACAAGAAAAAGATCACAATACAAGGTCTTGTTTTAAACTAAGAAAATACTCCAGAGTTTTACACCAGATAAAGTTCATCTACTGCCATAGCCAGGCTGCAGCACACAATTAGCACCTACAGTTTTGAAATTTAGACAATATATTCCGAAAAATTTTATGCATTTTTATTTAGCATGGTGTTATTGATCAAAACCATTTTACCTGTATAAGTTACATGTAGCATCAAGAGAAAGCACATTTCCTTTTTTCCAAAAGATTTGTATTGCAAGTAGTTTATGACAGCGGTAAATATTGTACTAGATTTGATGGGCTAGCAGTACATTGGTTTTAAATTAACTGGCAGCAAATAAATAATGGGAATTTTGTAAGAAGTGATCGAGCCACAGCAAAATGGAAAAAAAATTATGTCATTTAAAGTGAAATAAAAATGAATTACAATTAATAATTTTCAAACCCCAACTTGAGGGAGAAAATCTACAACTATATGCAACATTCCTGACAAGGGGAAATAACTTCCAATACTCTCACCTTTCATAACCATAAGTTAAGTCATAATTCGGTTCTTTTTCAGAATGGCAAGGTTTGGAAATGGTGATAAAAGACAAAGACACTCTCACTTCATCAGTCATTGAAAAAAATTAACAAAAAAAATCACATCTTTGTTTTTTTTTTCCAGGATGCCTAATGTCACTAACCCCACAGTCTCCTGCAACCGGTTTGCATCGCTGACCTCGCAGGAGAAGCAGACCCTCAAGATCCAGCTGAACATATCCGAGGAGAGTTTGCTGACCATGATCAACACATACTTGAGGAAGAACTGCCCTCAGGAGTCAGACATCTATGAAAAGATCCAGAAGTCTCTGTTACTGTACATCCCTATCATATTAGTAGTCATTGGGACTTTTGGGAATATCTTCTCATTTATCGTACTGCGCCAGAAAGCCATGATGACGCTGTCAACTTACTTCTATTTAGCAGCTCTTTCATTGGCTGACACTGTTGTTTTGTATTTTGGTTTATTCCGTCTGTGGATATGGCAACTAACGGGCATGGATGTGCAGCATTATGCTGACTGGTCGTGTAAACTGGTGGCCGTGATTGGTTACTCGGCCAGTGATTTCTCCGTATGGCTTATCATTGCCGTGACTGTGGAACGCTACATTGTCGTCTGCCATCCTCTGAAAGCCAGCGAACTGTGCAATATACCAAGAGCAAAGATTGTCATGGGCGCACTCTTCATGCTGCTGCTGACCATTAATCTTCATTTCTTTTGGACTGTTGAGTTGTCCACCTCAGAGTCGGACATACCTAAGTGTGATGGCGGCCCGCAGTATAAACACTTGATCACAGAAATATGGCCTTGGGTGGACGCAGTGATTTACTCCTTTCTACCATTTGGGACAATTCTAATTATGAACTGTATTATAATTCGTCAGGTGATTCATGCTCGCCGAAGTCGCGAAGAGCTTCAAAATACAAGTCTAAAGGAGCGTCGTAGGACAACTCAAGAGTCTAGCATTAAACTGACCATAATGCTTCTAACTGTGTCCTTCACATTTGTACTTACAACACTACCTATAAATGTCTTCATGATTGCAAAGGCCTTTTTTCAGTCCTATAGTGAACAAGACATTGACGAAAAAGGTCGCAGAGAGGTCATCCACACAAGTGCAAAACTTCTCATGTATCTTAATCACTCGATTAACTTTTTCCTATACTGCGCAACAGGCCAGAAGTTTCGGCATCAAGTCAAGCGAATTTTGTGTCGGAGATCAAAAACATTTTTCTCCAATTTTACACAAATTCGTAACGGCAGAGAGAGCATGGTCTGGAGCAGCACCAAGTACACAAACTGTCCGTCTAAGATTGTTGCTGATACCACAGACATGAGCGAAATGGAGATGCATCGTCTGCACCAAACACGCACCAATCAGCAACATCCTTATGCCTGAATGTCGCACAATATTGGCTGGTCACATAAATAATATATAACATCTTCTTGCAATTGTACTTAACACTGTGACAGCGGTGTATTTGATTACAAATATATTAAAAAAAGTGAGACCAGTGACAAAGAGACATACATGTCATGCAGATGATGATGATGATGATGAAAAAATGGTACTTTCCCTCATATTCTTCAAAATGTAGAATAAAGATGCAACACTATGCTGAAAAACTTGAATTTTTCTCAGCAAGAAGTTGATAGCAAAATATGGGATAGGATTTTACTAAGTCTAGTTTGTAAAAAAAAACATGAAAAATGATTGCAAAAGATAATATATTATGTATATAATATCAGATGACATAAAGACAATAAAAAAATGGTTCATTAATGCAGATTAGAGAAAAGAGCACAAATGAAATACTGATGCAAAAAAGAAAATCTGGAAAAGGTGAAAAACAGAAGACAAATAAACAAACTTATGAGCTGTGAAGGAAAGAATCAACGTATACGTACAATGATTCACAAGACCACCATGTTGTGAACTTGCTTCTAGACTTCGGACAACAGGAAGTCACAGAGCCATGACGATGTGGTGTTGTCCTGCATAACAGTTGACCTTCATTGTTTTATACTATACTGTATATAATATTAATTAATAATATATATGAAGTTTCTACAATATTTTAATCAAAACTGACAGCAGATGTGTAAATAACCTAATTTTCTGTTATCTGAAATTACCTGTTCTTAGCAAATGGGTTGATTTCCTTTATAACGATAGCCATATTGTATGTTTGCATGTTGTCAATGATTGGAATATAAAAAGGCGTGTGCTTGTAACCCATTTTCATGCCAATTCATTTTTTCCAAAAAGATGTCTGTTGAAACATGTAACTGATGACTTCACACTGGGTTTGTCTACCAACACGCCTTCAACCATTGCAATTTTCAGGTCTAATGGCAGAATTTTGCCAAAAAATAATGTAAGCCATTCTTTTGTCTCCCAAGTGAAGACGGCTGCATGTAGGGGCAGAATTTGTTCAAACCAGAAAAATAATGAGGAAACAAATTACTAACTGCCTACCATGGGCTGCCACTTAGCTGTCACTGCCAAGTTTTTTAAAACTTAAAAGACAAATCTGAGTTAGACTTATAGTCCCTAATAACAAAATTCATCTTAAAAATTCCTCACTGATGTCCTCAACAGGGTGCAACTTCACAATGAATTGATCAAACTAGCTACTGTGCACTCACTCTGGCTGAATGCAATTAAATTAACAGACTGGCAATGAATAGAATCAAAACATTAGAAATAAAAGATGTGTTACCCCAGGCTAATTTGAACAGAGAACCAAATCTTGCCAGATGCTGTTTGAGCGCATGACAATTCATTAGATTGATAAAGATATTTAAATAACATTAAAACACCTGTCTGTTAAATTTATAAGCAAAGACCTCTAAAAATCATTCTTCCGTAAATTTACAACCTCCACAGCATCTTTCTCTCTTTGCAATTTAAGTTACCCAAATCAATTATATATGTCACCTAACTTCACGCACTCTGTATATATATATATATCAGGTGGCTAAAAAAAAGACATCTACCAGTAATCTACTTATTTCAGAGTTCAATAACATCAATAGTTCTCAAGCTTTTGCATTAAGGATTTGCACAGACTTTTGAAACATTATTACTGGTCAACCCTGAAAATTTCAAGACTTGTGTTTAAGTGAAACATTTTTAATATTATCATCAAATCAAAAATACATTGACAGGTGTCAAAACTGACAGACACTGGCACTTGTCAGAAGTCACATAGGCTGGCATGGCATTGTTTTTTTAAAGCTAAAATTTTAATTTTTGGGTGTGCCAAAACCGAGAAAGGTAGAATCATGAAATTTTGGGCGTGATTAAAAACACTTTTTTTTTTTAAATATCTCAGATTTTAATGCAATATCTTTAAAACTTTTGACACATGATACAGGTTTCTTTTCTATAAACAAGTCTATGTACCAGAGAAGGAAGACACAGTTTTAGATTGATGCCCTTTTTCACACAGCAGATAATTCAGAAAACAATGGGTTTATCTGTACTTTTATTCTGTAGCTCAGAATCCAATTCACCTTACAAATGACACATTTGTTATCTTCTAAGCCACAATAGAGATCAAAGCTCTGGGTTAGAATAAATGACTTCCATCCTTTAACAGTAGAAGCTACAGAGAATTACTTCTAGCATTTAATGAAACACAACTGCTAAGGTGAAAGACCATTTTCAAGGGAAAAGTGTTAGTATTAAAAATGGGTGCGAGATTCACTATAATGGAATATTTCTGGTAACAAAAATTTCCCACTTTGTTTTATGTACTGAGCAATAGGCTAAACAGGCACTCGGAATAACAGAAGTAAATAACAGAAAATAATTCTCTGTCTTTTTGTTTTTAAGTGGGAAACTATTAGTTGACTCGAAAGACATACTGGTAATTTACTTGGTTTAATAATAGGTATCTGACCAATATTTAACTCAATATATTCATTAAAGCAATTCAGATACTTATATGCTTAGGCATAAATCTTAATCACAGTGGTTTGAAAAAAAATTAAAAAATTGAAATGACTGCTGGTAACAGACTTGTCTATGTTTTCTTAAACAACAACTTGTGCAATTTTATTTAAAGGTTTTAAACATCCTGTACATATGTATATATAAATACAAATGTATAACTTTATAAGAGAAGAATGTGAAAACTGATACTGAAAAAGTGACAATTATAAACACTGACATGTTCTTATATGATACTACTATTCAGTAAGTTGGATGTTTGTATATCATTATGATTGTTAAGTAAATAGTTTAGCTACAAAACTGTTATATATTAAATATTATATCAAAAATGTGATAAGTACTTGTATATCCCCTATATCTGCTGTATGCTAATCATTGGTGTTGACAATATGCTTGAATTATATTAATAAATGATTTTATTGGATATAACACATAATCAAAGCTTTGATATTCATATTTTAAATAAATGGTGACACCTGTATTACGTTGCTGAGTTTTCATTTTATTACGGCAGAAAAGTTCAGTCATCAATCTCCATTGTGTGGAGAGCCAATTGAGGTGGCGCCTTCCCACTGGGTTTTTATTTCGCTGAATCTGCCATGATAATTGATAGAGAGATCAAAGAGCACGTCGTTCTTTTCCACAGTAAATGTCAAATATCTGTGAATTGGTCCAACATTGTCATTGATGCTTTTAAATAAAAAGTATCAATTAAAACAAAGGAGTTAAAACATACTAGTGATTTTATTCCTAAATGTAAAAATTACAGTTACCCCTTTTTATTTTTTTAATGAAAATGAACCCCCCCCCCTAAAAAAAAGAGAAAAAAATGCTGTCCATCTAGAACATGCTGCCAGTGCTGCATTAGATTATTTCATTTATTCTTTTAACCACCAGTCATTCTGATGAATTCCCTGCCATCATCAGATTTCTGTCTCATTTGCTCCAAGACAACCGTAAAAGGTCACACTGCTGCAAAAAAGAAAAGTGGTCTCAATGAAAAGTTGATAACAATTTTGCTGTCTGCTTCTTATCTAACCGACTGTCCACACAGCTTCTCACGCAGAAAATTCATGCGTCACAAAAAAACAAAACAGAAAAACAAAACAAATCTTGGGACACATTTGTCAGCAGGAAAATGTCACTTAACGCTGCATCCACACAGTGTGAAGAAATGACATCAAATTATCTGATTTCTCATTTCACACCTACATATTAACACAGTGTGTGGGTGCAGGATTTCTCAGTGCACATTTCACATCTTCAGACTAACTAGTATATGATAATTTATCAACAAATTTGAACAAAACTGAACAATAATATTTTCTGAAATGGTGTTTTGCTAGAAATATCTGAAAAGGTTTACTTAAAATTTCTGATAAAAGAGTTTGAATTTTTAAAAACAAATTGTACAGTATTTAAACTTGACCATCCACAGAACAAATTGCTGAATAAGAGGGGAATAAGGATTTTGTACTGTAGTCAACATAAAAAAATTAATTTGAATTACTCAATTTTCATCTTATCTTATTGCGCAAGGGAATTATACGTAGCCCGAGAGTAAAACAGAGCCAGAAAATTAAACCTAGTCATAATTACTAAATACTATTCATAGAAATTGCCCCAACACAATAGTGAACTTTTCCACTTGCATGTACCAGAAACTAGCTACCCAAGGCAAAAAAGATCGGTTATGTGCCCGTGCTTACTCCTTTTGGTATTGATAATCAATTTCTACAAAGTATAAAAGTACTGCTATTATAAGGCCACAATTTTTTATTTTTATGGATGACATCCTCTGGGTACCCCAAAATCGGTGCGAGAGGGCAAAAAAAAAAAAAAAAATACTGCTTAAATAAAGGAATGCTGTCAGTACTCAGCTGGAAACAAATTTTACCACAGAAACACGTATCAAACTAACAATGGCTTTACCCATGCTCTCAAAACATTAAAGCATTGTGAATACTTTGTAGAAATGTAAAAAAAGTCATGAATAGATATGCTGCATATTACCAAATCTATTTAAGGTTATTTCATGCAATTTGTTGGTATAGCAATCAATAAAACAAATATCAAACAAACAGTGTGTCTTTATTTGTATTCTCATAATATTAAAGCATTTTGTACACTCCACAGAAATGTTTAAAATATGATGCAAAGATATGCTTAATACTACCAAATCTATCAAAGGTCATTTCAGACGATTCCATTTTGTCTACTTTGACTCACACGAAGCAGCCAAACTGCCAGGTGGCCTGTCCGACCTTCAGCTCACCAAATACCTCGACGCCCTTGTCGACCCTTTTTTCGCTACAGAAAACCTGGTATGTGCTGCTTTGTACAAAATGTCACAGAAATTTTTTGGGCAATAATCGCTGGCTGTCGCCAGCCTTTCGCACAATTGTAAAAAGGTGATATCTCCATGCCCAATACCAATCCAA